ATATATCAATATCATTATATATATATATCATTAGATATATATATATAACTAACTATAAACATAAAAAACATCAACACCAGGCCACCCAGCTTTTTTCACCCAAGACTCTCCACTGTGCACTCCCACGCGACAGCTCACCTGCTCACCGCGGCCCCGGGACCATCGGTGGGTCCTTTGGACCATCTCCAGGCCGAAACGCACCACCGACCTGGGCGGACCCGGTCGGATCCGCCATGAAGAGAATCCAGAGAGAGTGAAAAGAACTGAAAAACAAAACACATCCTCCGGATGGATTTTCAGTTCTTCACTGAATTTTCAGTTCTTTCCTCAAGCAAGTTTCGATTCAAAATGGATGCCCAAGGCTTCCTTGCGCGTTCCGACACACATGCATTTGGCCATTTGGGTTTGGGGACACACATAGACACGCGCAACACACCCACATCCTGACTTGATGACAAACGGTATCATGAAAGCGCATGGGCTTGGATGACAGGAAAGCCGGGAAACCTTGCCGTGGCACCAAACCAGTATATGCACACTTGTTGGAGAGTCCATGCCCATGCAGGTGAATTTCTACCTCTGATCAAGAAAGCCCGTGACTGGCATCTTGAGTCAGTTGGGCAAATGACATATAGTTATAATTATGTATCATGATATCTATTGATATCTCATAATTACATTCATATTACCAATTCACCCATATGTTGGGGGCATGGATTCCTCTGTCCTTGGGATCCTGGGCGCCCATCTGGGCCGTCCACGTCCTCCTCCGCACCTTCCCCCGGTGGATCCGTCGTCAACGACCGTGGCCAGGCGACATCGGAGAGTTCTTGTAGGTCAGCGGCGCCTCTGCTTGCCCCGCGATGTAGGCATCGCCCACCGTCTCAACCTTGTAGACTTCCTGAGGAAGAAGGCGTTCATGTTTGTGAACAAGACCTCTGATAGATCTGATAGAGAGAAGTAAAGGAACAAATAAACGTCTTTCCCTCCACAATCTTACATAAGTCTTTGAATAAAGTGATCAGTCTAGCATCATACTTATCAGTGAGCTCGTCAAACAGCCCAAAGAGTTCGCCAATGAATTGCACCACCTCCTGCGGCTCTCTGGTGCTCGCAAGCTTTGTGAAGCCACATAAGTCCGACTGAGCAATCGTGGCCTTGCGATAGTTGTGAGAGGGGTAGCCTCAACACAGCGACGGGCAACGGGACACGCGAAGAAAACGGCGAAGACAGGCGTTCCTGGTCCAGAGATATGCATGGCATGTGTGTGTGTACATGTGTGCACACAGATATATGATATATATATATATGTATTGATACAATGAATACACCATGATCAGTCTTGATAGGTTCTCTAATTATACATATATATTATAGTATTATGTAATTATATGATTATGTTAATTTTTGTTACTGTTATATTATATATGCCTCAAACAGAGTCTTGGTACTCCGAAGAACCGTCGAGACACCAGCCTAACCCACCCCAAAGGATGCGCCTGAGGGGTTGTCTCGGAGCTGTTCCACCACCATGACCGGCATCAATGTATTCAAGATGGATTGGGTGCGCTCTCGGGTGAAGGACACCGCGTTCTGCGCCCTCCAGCGTTGCCGGAAGCTGATCTCGGCAGTGTGCGCCACATAACACTGCACCACGCTCACGCCGACAAAGACCACTCGGGTTTGGTGGGTCATGAACAAGTTCCCAAAGGCCAAAGCAAAGGACTGCCTGGGACTGAGGACTGAGGGGCCAACATGGGCCAACCACCTCCAAAAAGACCACAGATTGCGGGTGGCGTGGTAGGATCTTAAACGGAAAGTTCAAAGAGACCCTATTTGGGGGCGACAACATCGAAAACTTCCCAAACACAAAAGATGATAGGTGGCATGCTCATGAGCACACTGGCTAGCACCACGAAGACCACAGAGATGCGGAAGAGGAATGGATTCTGCGTGATGATCAGCTGAAACATGGGCATGATCAGCAAACTGTGGATGCTTCTTTCAGGCTGATATTTGGTCCCTAGCTCTGTGAGGGCGTTGTAGGAGGAAAACATCATCATGGCAATGGTACAGTATGACACCAAGAGCCCATGTGAGGCCTTCTTGTAATCCAAAAGCATGGCATGCTTGGAAGCATAGGCCACCCGCCAGGCCAGAATGATGAAGAGGATGGCCATGCGACTACACAAAAAGACGGGCAAGCGCAGCTTGCCGCTTTGCACCGCATCCACCTCAAAGACCTTGGTGTAGAAAACCGTATAGGCCATGTCCACCGTGGTGAGCACGGAGATGAACAAGACCTGACGATCTAAACGCGCATCCATCTTCTTGCACGTGGTGTTGTCATGAAACCACTGGTGAAACTTCTCCTCCATCTCCTGGGTGAAGCCCTCCCGGCCCGGAGAAAAGAGCCGCTTCAACTGGGCGAGGGCCGAATCCACCGAAATGATGGCCGAATCCTCTCCATCCTCCGCGGTAATTTTCTCCAAGACGTCCTCGAAGGTTTGCGTTTCGCTCCACACTTCACTCAGCCGTGAGGAGCGACGGAGGCCCGCCTCCTCATTCCAACTGCGGCGACTGTCCGTGCTGGAACGCTTCAAGCTGGATCTCCGAGGGCTCATGGCGGACAGTTCAATTCCAGCTGAGCCACCTGGCGAGGCGAGCTACACAATTGACATGAATTTGAATTGAAACATGTGAGAAGAGGACAAAAGGTGTTGAACTTGCTGGAGAATGACTGAGAGTATACCCCTTCTGGGCTTCTGGAACGCAACATGGACATGACTTGTTTATCAATACTCTTTCAGCCTCAGTTTCATCTTTGCCTGGCCTTGCGATCCTCTGGATCCTCTTGTTGGCCGCTCTCGCGCTTCTCTCCTGAGATTCTTGGACCGCTCTGAGAGTTGTTGCACCATGTTCCAAGCCTCGTTCTCCTCAGGCGCGCTGGGCAGCGCAGTGCTCGTCAGCACCTCGGTGATCGAGGGCCTGGAGCCCCGCGAGGACACCGAGTCCCGCATCTCCTCAGCGAAGGAGACGCGCTTGCGCGCCTTGGGCGGTTTGGGCGGCTTGGCCTGGGGCTCTGTTGGCTCACTGCCCAAGAGCCAGGTAGGAACCTGTCACAGGGTGCGAGTTTGGCCATGCAACAGGTCGAAGGAGGGGAGATTCTCATTGTGCGACATCCCCCTTTTTCAATGAGAAGGCCCCCTTTCAACGAGGTAAAGAAACCTGGACCGGGTATTGTCCAATTGAACAGTGCGCTTGTCGTTCCACATCCCCAGGCGGACTGCGTTCAAGAAAAATCTAGCACGAACATCTTCAACCCCACCACCAAGCACCGAACTCAAAATGATGAGTGTAGCTTTGACCACCCACACCTTGCCCTTGCCTTTCATCTCGATATTGTCTCGAAAGCGAGACCTCACCCCTGGCGGCAAACAATCTTTAGTGGCTTTCCCGAACTGCAACTCTCCAGGCACGCCCTTCCTCACTTGACTTCATCCAAGATCTAATAAACAGAATATGCAAAAACCCTAAAACCAAAAACAAACGTTTTGCATCCACTATGAATCGACATGAATTGAGCATCACATGCAGCCAGATCGTCCTGGTGAACTTGGGTGCCTACTGACAACCAAAGGGAACAAACACACACTTGCATAGAGTAAAGCTTTTGGAGGACTTAAAGCCCAAACCACGGCAAACCTGAACAGCCAAAAACGGGCACTGACCCTAAACCAACTCAGCTTCTGCATGATCCTGGCCGCCGTGTTGATGGTATCTCCGAAAAGCCGGAACCGTGGCAGCTTTTGGCCAATGACTCCGGCGACCACGGGGCCAGTGTGAATGCCTTCGACATCCATCCGGTTGCACCCGGGGGTTTGGGGGGGCTTTTTGGGGGTTGCGGGAAGGGAGGCGGGTGTCTGAAGTCGATTGGGAACATATATTGGTTCCTTTTCTTTAAGACGCTTTGCAACACCCCGCGTTGCGGAGTCTTCCTGTTTTCATTGGGCAGCTCTCATTGAAATCCCCATCAACAGAGTTTCAAAGAGTGACACCTTGGAACATTTATATCATGTGGCCTACTATTTCGGTATATTTTATTCCATATTCCGCGTGCCCAACGTGGACCTATGGGCAAACACATATTAATGATATATATATATATAATATCACATGTTAAGTGTTTAATTGATAAGACATATATACAGTATATATATATATATACAATTATTTATATCATATATATATATGGACTGTCAAAATCCATATACAAAAATATGTGTGTGCGTGTCTAGAGCCTAGGGGCCTGGATATGTGCTGCGGTGCCCGCAGCACCCCTCTTCAAGTCCCTAGGAAGCTGCATGAAAACGATGACATTTCACTATGCTCCTTCAAAAATATCCACATGCACTGCTTTGGAGGGACTCAGGCTCAATATTTCAACAGTTCAAGTGCAAATAACTAAGTGACATAGATTGGATATGATGATTGGATCAAATCTCACACACTCAAATGTCACACTTACCGACAAAAACAGTCTAGAAGATTTCAAGTCCTTCGATTGACTTATGACGCGAACTCTTCGGCGAAGTCGCCCATCTTGAACTTCACATCCTCCTCCGCATCTCGCTGAACTTCCAACATCTCACTCGCGGCCTTGATGAGTCGATGCAAAATCACCTGCCGACCCGCACCGAACACAGGGATTTTGAAGGCGACCCGCCGGGACACCGCGGTGTCCTTGGGGCTCAACCTGCAGTCAAAGTCCTTACTGCCATAGATCTGCAATAGATACCACTGTAATAGAAATCATATGAAACATTCAATTACGTGTGAAACATCAAAGAACCGGTACCACTCCGGCACCCCCAAACAACGGCCAGAAGACAATTCAGAGATGGAAAACCACCCAACCCTCCGGTCGGTCGTCCCGCCACGTCCGGGACCGTCTGATCGAATCAATGTCCCGCCTGATGTCCTAAGGCTTTATCCACCTCCCAGTCCTTGGGCACCACTCCCACAGCACAAACATATTCCTCGCCCACGGTCTCAATCTTGGTGACCTCGTGCTTCGCACAAATCTCATCGAACTGGGTGAAGTAGCTGTTCCTAAGATGGGAGGAAGGAGCCACAAGTGGCTGGTTGATGACTAAGTGACTTGTGGAAAAGATTCGTTTCAACTCCAGGTTGTTCGAAGCATCCCTAGGTGCATAACTCATGCATCATCATGCATGACAATGAAAGCGAGTGATTGATTCAACGTCCAACGTGTTCTATCAGTGTCACATCTATTTGAATCGTTCTTGACCTATATACAAGTAAAACACACCCGCAAACTCCACGAAACGTTGATTCCTGCACTGTGTGGCCAAGCTTCAAGTAGTCTAGTAACTCTGCAGGCTCTTTCTTGCGAGCCGTCTGGTCGAAGTCCACAAACATCACGAAAAGGATCGAGGCACACTTGACCGGATCTGCGATGACCTCTCCCGGTTTCCGCAGCATGGGCACAATCACGTGCACGGGGACCATGAATTCCAAGAGTTGAAAGATCTGTTGCGTGGCCTGGCGCTGCCTCCAGTCGTAAATGAACTTCGTACGCTGGCCCTTCTCAAGGTAATACTTCCTCACGAAGGCGAACAAGTTCACACTACAAAGCAGCAGCAGGATCAGCAGCAAATCTGCAAAGGTGCGAGGCTCTTCGGATGACTCTGATGGCGTTCCCTGCGACTTGGATGACTCCTCTTTGGCCATGGCACTGCAGAAGTAAGCTGCGATCCACACCCAGGTGAAGTGCATGAGCTTGAGACTGGGCATCACGCGGGGCATCAGCATCAGCCAAGCCATCATGACCTCCGAAGAGCTTGAAACAGGTGACATAGAAGGCACCAAGACCCTGTTGTGTCCATCTCAGGTGATGCTGGATGTATTCTTTCATCGACACTGGTGACAGTAGGGTGCTACTTGAAGCGTGAACGCAATCATGCAAGCAGAAGTGAGCAGAGAGGATGGAAAACAATCGTACAATGGCCTCCGGCACATGGCACATGTTGCGTTTGGGCAGAGGATGCGCCGGGAGATTGACGTTCGGTGTTGACTTCGATGGATCTGAGGGATTTGCTTGACTTGTTCAGTCCACGCTTTCTGTTTAGTAGCAAGAAGCTACTAGGTTGGAGGCCATCGCTTAGGTTAGAGGCCATCGCCACTAGTAGCAACAAGCTACTAGTGGAGTGCACGCCAGCGGTGCACTCTTCCGGAGCAGCAGGGGGGCATTGTGCTTGAGTGGAGTCCGGATGCGGACGTGCGCCGTCACGAGACGTGTTCAAGCACTCGGCAGCCCAGACTGCCCGGTCAGCTGTTGCGAAAACCTCAGTGGATTTGCCTGCTCAGAAACAACGAACGAACAGCCAAATCTACATGTTCCGCCAAGACAAAACAATTTGGATGACCTGGACCAATGGCGAAAAGAAAAGCACAGGGTGCCATAACGGTCATAACGATGTTCTCACCCTGGTTTACCTACATGAGCCTCCGTTCCATCTACCTTGTGAACTCTCTTTGGGGATAAAAAACTTGATTGGGAGCCTGCTCCTCTAGAAGGATGATCTTCCTTGAAACCTCTTCCATTCCAGGTAATTCCATGTTCCCTCCCAAGCTCTACCTGCACCAAGCTCTCGCCCTGCAAGCCGCAGTCCAAGCGTTCAAAGCGCTTGAGGATATACTCCCGCTGCTTGCAGTCCTTCAGTTCCTCAAGCTCCTGGCAGGAGAAGCTCAAGGGCCACAAGCCAATCAAGACGACGTAGAGGAAATAGAGCGCCAGGATCCTAACAAAATCAAGGGTCAGCAACTCAGTGTTTGCAAAAGCCCCCAGTTCTGACCCGAGGATACACCACGCGGTTTCACTGGGAAAACTAGCATGTATAATATATTATATATATATATGTCGTAATATCTATAGCATTTTGTAGTGATGGCCCTGGCCTCCAACCTAATAGCGTCCTTGCTCCTAGTAGCGATGCCCTTTGTTCCTAGTAGCGATGCCCTTTGTTCCTAGTAGCGATGCCCTTTGTTCCTGGTAGCTTCTTGATTTTCTTGTTCCTAGTAGTAGGCCCAGTAGCGTCCTTGCTCCTAGTAGCCATGCCCTTTGCATTCCCATCCTTTCCCTATTTCCCTACCCGGTCGGTCAACAGCAAATTACAGGAGGGCGTTCCAGGGTTTTCATGCGCACTCCAGTCGCATTGTTGACCAGCAAGGATCGGAAAGTAGAGGGCCGCCCTGGGCTGCTTGATGGTACGGAAGAGCGGCCAAACTAGGCCCAGCAAGAAGCCAAACTCTATGAGCCGCCAAGCCAGGAACACCTCAAGCTCGATCATTTGCGTCTTGAGGATGGCTCAAGCATGGGAAGCACATCCCAAAACCACGAAAAGAACTACTATTTACATCAAATGTGCGGAGGTTTGTCTTGTGTGGGCGGGAAGTGGAAGAAAGGGATACGAGAAAGAATCCACTTATTCAACCGCCATTGGCAATTCTACAACTGACTCCACTCGAGATCTATTCTGTTTGGTCTGAGGTTCCTTCGTTGAACCCGAGTCGTGCCTCGCCGTTGCACGAGTCCTGCTGGGCAGAATCGACCCAAATGAGATCCCGCAACAGCTCGAACAGTCGCAGCAACGCCCAGCAAAGATTCAGTGTCATCAAGGTCCCCGCGCCCTCCGCGATGTTCTGATCCCAACCTGGCGACGATGATGGTTAAGGGGGATGATCATATCATATCATATCTAACATCCTCGGTGGAAATCACCAAACTCTTCCAAGTCTTTGCTCCCCTCCCCTCAGGTCAGCAGGAATGGTCCACTCGCACGTCCTTTCATTGCAACTCACTGACTCAGTGCTCATTTTGGAGCGGTTGTTCGCTCAGGACGGGACTTTTTTGGGCACAAAGTTCGAACTGTTCGTCTGGCATCGAGGGTGCATCCTCTTCCTCAGCTGCTGGAAGGCTGGAGGAGCCCCGCCGCAGGAGGCGCATGGCATAGCTCACCTGGAAGACAGAGTCACGGCCGATCGATTGGGCGGCTGAGCTTGATGTGCTAAATTAGCAGCTCTTTGATGCAAAGAACGATTGCTTCAATGACCTAACGAATGTGTTGCCCCAAGCTGGAAGCTGTTGTAAAGAGAACTGAGACCATGCTCTCATTCAGGGGACCCCCACCACCGTGCTCGTTCATCTAACCTTCCTCAAACTCTCAAAAAACAGCCACCAGAACCCTCCTGGCCACCAAATAGACGTGTTTTCGGGGCACCGGTGTTCAACCCACCACAGCGGGCTCGCCTCTCGGTCCTGCTCGGAGTGGGAGCGACTCGCGAGCTTGTTCAGGCGGTGGAGAGTGGCCCTCATGTCGGCAACTTTGGCCGGTGAATGGAAGATGGCCGATCTTCGGCCTCTGAATGTGTATTAAAATCGAGTGAACCCCACCCCAAAGACTGCCTCAAGGACAACTACTACAGTAAAGCCATTGGTAGTGCAAACCGCAAATGGCTGCAACAGAGCTGTTGACACCATGTAATCATTCGACACAACTTTTGTTTGACCAGGTGCAAGCGCTTGTTCGCTAGTGGTCTGTGTTTACCATACTTTACAATGGGTCTCATGTTCTGACAGTATCCCAGACCAGGTAGTATCAGATTTGTCATTTGTCTCAACCACGGAAAAAGGGAACAAAAACGATCAAACAAGCAGAGCGAGCCAACAAGCAGGGCGGGTGGGCGAAGCCAATCGTATCATGCTCCATCTCCCAATGCACGTGGCACTCTGACACTCAAGCACTCTTTGTAACTGCATGATCTTAAAACCCTTCCTGCAAACCAGCACCTAAAGGCAACAACTACAGCCAAAGCTTCTTTTGAACTTGCAACTTCGTGACTAGCCCTTGTCTCAAAGATCTTCGCAGGCACCCCATTTTCTTCGCCGAGTGCAGCGTCCCCGTGCGGCCTCCGCGGCTTGGCCATGGCCTGCTCTTCACAACAAGGCCTTTACTATTAGCGTTTCCCCCAAGATTGCTCTCCAGAAAGGGAGGCTTCTTATCCGAACCAGAGATGCTTGCTGGCTTCCAACAAACAATTCAAAACGAATAGTAAGCAAGCATATGTAAGCATTCCAACCTACTAGTGATGGCCTCCAACCTAGCAATGGCCTCCACCCTAGAAGCGATGGAACAAATAGTTAAACAGTATGTAAATTTAGTCTTCTTCCTGATTCTTCCCCCCGGCACCTACTCTCTCAACCACTCGGCTCCAAGCAGAAGTTCAGACAGCCCAGGTCTTGGCGTCCTGGTGATCCGTCGTCCGTCGTAATCCGATGAGAAATGCGGATGATGAGGAGTTCCCGGAAAGGCAAAATAAGCGCCAGGCTCTCCCAGAAAGGGGGAGGAGACTTCAGGTTTGAAAGATGTCGTGAAAGCAACTTGACTTGAACAAAAATGCGCTTTATAAAAAGTGGGTCGGTCGACATCCTTGAAGGTCCTTGCATCCAAAAAATACGTTCCATCTTTCAGACCCGAGGGTTCAACGTCAGTTCCCTTTCTGCAGACATGGATGTTGCCATCCTCTGTCCTTCATGGCAAGCCTTTAGATGGGCATCCAAAAGGAGTTGGGTCAATCAAGTATGGCCTGGCAGCAAGCAAAGCATGAGATGCAGTGACATACAAGTAAAGAACATGCGGATCAACAAAGTGATGTTCTTTTTGAACATGAGAAAACCTTGCTTGGTTGAGCACAACCAGTTGAGTGAATCACCAAAAGAGAGGAACACGTTTGAAAGAGTCGAAACGGCACTTCTGGAGATTAATTTGTCTTGTTCAAAACAAACCTTTAAAGCAAAACGATACGAATTGAACGCATTGCACAGTCCAACTCACTACTTTTGGCAAGTTGTTCTTTCCTTTTAAAAGGATGTTGGGAGCTTAACCTTTCAGCTCACAAATGAAACACAAAGAACTGTTAGTCCGTGCTTCACGGCATCAAATGGTGGCTAGTGAGGATGGTCAATTGATCCGAAGGGAATCCATCACCTGAATTGCCTCAGTTTTGTTTCAGTGAGGACTTCGTCACACTTCGGAAAATGTAACACTTTGTAACAAAAACAGCACTGAGCAGGTTGTTTCCATGTCATCTCGTCAAATGACATTGTCGACAGTTCAGTGCACGCACTATGCTTGTGCAACGTGGACACTTGCGATTTTGTTTGCAGGCTACAGAAAGGACAGCTTTTTCATGTCCTGCTTGAGCTTGGTAGGAGAACATGCTTGCGCTTGGTATTTGTACATTGTAGATGAAGGCATTCACTGCTATTGACAGTTGCGTATTTTTTGTATCTTTACTGCGCGCGCGTGAATGTTTTTTCGACTCAATGACTCTGAGAAAACAAAGCAAGCTCAGAGCTCAGCGCTTGTAGCAAGCTCAGCGCTTGTTCAGACCACCCTGAACTGTTGGAGTCAAATCCTTTTGTAATTGGATAAAATATTTAATGGAACGCTCCATTCAATCCTTCCGGGCCTCAAACTACGAAATCGAATCGATGGGACCTACCTATGGTAAAGAGGTTCCCCTCAGCTGGACCCGTCATTCTATAGATGAGCAATCCTCAAAAGATCTACTTCTTGGGATTCCCTCACCCCGTGCTGGGCCTGCTCCTGCTCGCTGCTCTCAGGCCCAAGAATAGGCGGACCTCCAACCTCCAAAATATCTCTCGCGTGGAACACCGATGAAAAACAAAGCCCAATAAAGTTGAAAGAGCCAACTCATTCAAGCGCAAACGGGGGCAGAAGACTAGAAGACTGCGTGCGGCAGTGAGCTATTGACCCCGGACTCTGCCTCCATCATGGCATTGGAAGCTTTGCCAATTCCCCAACCTCACCAGGTTCACCAAACACCATGCGGAAATCGGAAATCTTGCAATCAAAAACGGTTCATGTCCGCATCACAGTACCTTGGTGCGGCTTCAACTTGGACTTGCTTCAGGGACCAGGTGCGGCTCACATTTTAGTCGGCTCGCAACCAATAAGTGTTCATCTGCCATTAGCAGTGGTGTTTAGGTTCCCATGCGTTTTAGGTGAATCCTTGCTGCCCCACCTGAAATCAACAGGTTGTCAATTGTTCCTACTCTGCAGCTTGGAGAATGGAAGGCTGCCTGTGAGCTATGAACAGCTATGCGGGAAGAACCGTGTTCTTTGGTGCCGCTTATCTTCAATCATCCAAACGATTGTCGACCGGGTTGAAGAGTTCAAGGCCATCTCAGCTGTTTGTCGACAGTGAGAACGGCCAACTAAAAAGACTATTGAAAGCGTCAAGCTTCACCAAACATGTTCACTCTGGCTATACGCAGCAATCACATGTTCATAATGATATGTTGCTCTTCATCATATACGTAGCCTTTGGTTTGCCTCCAACAATTGTTCTGGTGCAAATCCTCCGAGAAAGTTTGTGCCCAAACCCCAGAAAAAGAATTAATCCTCCAACACTTCGGACTACTTGGTGGTCACGAGCCACACAGACCACCCCCATCCCCCAACGCAACCACCACAATTGCCACCCCCAGCGTGGTTAAAACTTCAACGTCTTTCAAACACGGCAACTTCCAAGCTGCGGACAGAGTGGATTTGGCCGTCATTGTGGCTGCCGAAGGTAACCTCTAGGGTCACGTGCAAAATGAGTGCAAAAGCGACTCGAACAACATGCCCATCCTGCCACATGCACTTCGAAACAAGACTTTACAGTACCCTGATGAGCACAGCTGACAAGCCTCGTTGGGGTTGTTGGTCAGTCCAACCTGCGAAAAGCATCAAGGATGAGTGGTGGGATTCAAGCCTTCTTTGTTTTCAGTTGTTTTCTTGTGTCTAAACTAAAGGACCATGTTATGAAAACTCTATAAAGCTCTTTTAGGTTGAGGGCAAAGCGGCTTCAAAAAAGTGAACTGAAAGCCGAGGGATGTGCCAATGATCACATGGGTGGGACATTCCTTGTGTGCACAACTTGGAATGCTGTGTGCACAACTTGGAATGCTGTCGGAGCCCCACATGCGATTGTGCGTGACGTCGTTACGCATTCTGACTTCAATCATTCAAGGAAAGCAAACAGCTGAGTCAGATTGCGGTCAATCATTTAAACCACAATCGTAACATCGTCTCCGTTATGACTTGTTACACATTGTAGGCTTGCAAATCTGACAATATTGAGACATTTCCAAGGAAGAACATGTGTTAACTTGTTTCATATATTTATCAAACTCTCGTTTTCACAAGTTTCTCATCCAAAGAGTCAGGCTTGAGAAAACAACATACTGTCAAAACTTGAATGTTGATTGTTCCAAACAACGTAGTTTCAAAGCAAGCTATTCTCGAATTTCCTCCGGTACGCTTCATCATTTAAGGAAGCTTAAACACAATCTATTCTTGAATTCCCCCCCGATACCTTTCATCAGTGAATGAAGCTTAAACAAGCTATCAGTGAATGAAGCTAAGCTCAAGCTATTTTCCAAATTCCCCCCGATACCTTTGATCAGTGAATGAAGCTTCGTGAAGCAAGCTATTATCGAATCCCCCCGATACTTTTCATCAGTGAATGAAACTACACCGCACGCTATTTTCCAATTCCCCCTGGTACCTTTCATCAGTGAATGAAGCTTAAACACGAGCGACTTTCGAACTCCCCCCGATAGGAAGAAAAAACACTGCAAAAACAACCGCTTTTGGGGGTGTCCTTTCCAAAATGTCAGCCAATACCGGTGTTTTTGTGATGTACTGAAGAAGAAATACGTGCTGTTAATGCAAACAACGCATTTTTGTAGGTATCCTGGTATCCTTTAATACTGTAATGACTCAATGACCGATGTTTTTGGAGGCAAAACATAGCAAACACCATGGGTTTGTAACACTTCTTGCAATGCACCAAGGAAAAAACAACAAACACTGCACAAAAAGAAAACAGGTATCCTTTGTAAAGATACTCCAACTGTGACCCTCCGACTGATCATTAATAAACGTCTAACATCGTTCAACATACAAGTGGTTTTGTTGCCAGATTGTTGGTATGAGATGCAGTGATACCAATGTGTACTATATTTCGTATACGCGCATAAAAATGAATACATAGTAATACGTACTATATTATAATATATAGTCATAATGAGTCTTATTACAATATATGGGTACGTGGATAGATACAAACTCCACATGTGTACATATGTGACCATACAGCATGGTTTCCCTGCTGGTGGCCATGAGGATCTGATGAAACTCAGCTTTCGACTCTGATCCGCCCAGCTGGTGTGTGATCGGCAGGTATCGCTAAGTCGCCCGCGCCTGCGAATGCGAAGGCGCAGACTCATAAAAAGCCGAGACTCCCCTCCTGAGCTATCTGATCATGTGATAACGGCATGAAACTTGCTAAGTCACTTTTGGACAGCAACCAGCACCACTGGCCTGGGGGATCCAGAAATCCTTTGCGTTCAGAGGGGCCTGGCTGGGTGGCAGATTGAATTCGTGTGACGAACTTCAATGATAAGAAGTCATCGCAGCATGTCTTTACGCTAATGGCGATGTTCTGAACTGATCTTCAGGCTCTCTGCATTGATCTTAAAATGGGTAAACACTTCTGGAACCGAATGGCGAGATGCTTTTCTTGCTTGTGAAATATCTTCCCGCACTACCATTGGACAGCCATCGACCCGCGGCCAGCCCGGAATGGCAGGTGCAAAGCTGGGGCCTTCCATCGTGGCCAACAATCCGCAGCCAGCGAGGCTGTACATGTTACGAAGGTTGGAACACTTCCAGCTTGTGACAGGATCTACGGGACCATTCC